GTAGGGTAAGAGGGAGAAGGAATAATATTCCCATTGCATACATGAGGAAACTAAGTTCAGTGTTTCTTGTTCAAGATACAAAGTCAAGTGTGAGAGAGGGAACATGGGCTTTAATATGACAAAGACTTATACATGTATTCTGTCATTTATTAGCTGATGACCTTGGGCAAGTTACTCCTCCTGCTAAGGTTGGTGGGGTAGAAAGATGGGCTTCTGAGCAACCCTGTCAAAGGAGGGTTGTGATTATTGGTGAGGATGAAGATGGCAGTGATGTGAGGGTTGCATTCGTTGTGTGCTTGTGCTGTATTAATCACAGCCAGGGGTTGGTCCCACCTGTCCCTCAGAACATCTCTCTGGGTAGTTACTATTTATTCCCATTTTTCAGATGCTTAAATTGAAGGCTAGACAGTTAAGTAGTTTGCCCTCAATCACATGGCTAACAAGAGCTCTTACCACCTGAACCCAGGTCTATTCGATTCTAAAAACCATATTCTTCTATTCTTTTCACACTTGCATAAAGCTGAGTTCCTACCAGGAGGCACTGACAGATGACCAGGGCCGTCCTGGCTGTCTTTTTGTAAGCACTTTTCCACCACAGGGATCTGTTCCTATCCCTTTCCCTTTCAGAGTCTTGGTGCTTTCCTACCCTGGACCTTCTGTCAAATAAGAAACAAACCTGAGTGAGGTCAGTTTTGCCCATCAACTGGTAATGGGTGAATTCTGAATATTCTTCAGTGGCAATAGATTTCTCTTGGGAAATTATTGATCAGACATTTTCATTTTATAGTTTTTGTCTCTGATTATGGAATGAAAGATTTACAACCCCAACAACATTGACTAGTAGGTGGGAGACATTTAGGGAAAGGAGTGGAGGGCAGGTGTTAAGGAAATCATAGGGTGTGTTGGACTGAGCTGGCTGCCTATAACAGAAAGCCCCCCCCCCAAAAAAACCAGTGGCTTAAACTTATAGGGGCTTATTTTTCTGTTACACACACACACACCTTGGAAGAATACAGTCCATCACTGGTATGGTGGCCCCACGAGCACCCTAGACCAGTCTTTCCATCTTTCTACCCCACCATCCTTAACAGGAGATAGCATCCTCAAGATTGCTTCATGGTCCAAGATGACTGTTGGAGCTCTGCCCATTGTTTGCAAAGAGAAGGAAGTGAGGAGGGCTGCAAAAAGGGGTCCACCCAATACCTTCTGCAGAGAGGTTGTGAAATGTAACTTATCAAGTGCTACATTGCCCAGTGTTTCATTAAAGAAGGGTGGATGGATATTGGTAGATGCCTAGAAGTCTCTGCCATATATAACTTACTTGTAAGAGTGGCGTGGGAAACCTGAATTAGGCCTGTCAGGGTGGTAAAAGGGCCGGTGTGGCCGGTCTCCTCACTGGTGGCTCTGGAAAGCTGGAGATCTCATCCCCCGGCATTTCCGCAGGGTCACTGCACTTGTTCAGAGCTGCATGTCTTTTGTTATCACTGGGCTATGGATTCCAAGAACTCAGAAATCCACTCCGCCTGCATGGGGATCTTTCCTCCCTGTCAGTATTTCCCTCTGGCCTTGTTCACCTCATCCCTTCTTGCCCTGCAACCTCTCTGCTCCCAGACTCTGAGCCTTCATGGTAGGTCCTCTCCTCCTCTGTTGATTCACCTTCCCACCCAGGGCCTGCTGAGGCCTCAAGGACACAAGTCCCCAGTTTCTGCGGTCTCTCTGGAATCTAGAACCTCAGAGACAGGGAGCAGAAGGGGCTGCTCGTGGGAGCACTGGTGGGGAGGAAAGCATAAGAGAAACAGCTGCCAGGGGTGCTGGTGTCTACGTCAGGGCATCACATGGATCAGACTCAAACTGGCTCCCGTGAGTTGGTAGTACTCACAGATGTTGCAGAGCGATGACCCCCATCATCTCTTTTTAGGATAGCAGTATAAGTAGGACTGGGCCCTACTTTACCCCAGACTCTGTAGAATTTCGGTGTTGGCCTTGAAAAAGGAAACTGAGCCAAAACCTGGTTACCTCCTGCCTCGTACCTCACAGCATCCTCAGCACAGGCACGTCTGCAGGGGAGCTGTTAATTGAATACCAGAGCTTGTTGGTTGAGGGCAGAAATAGTCATTTTCATGTGCCCTTGGCCTTCATAAGTCCAAGTAGCCTGTTCTATGCAGAACACCCATCTATTTGCAACTTTTTAAAAGGGCAGAAGCTTAGACCAGGTACACAGGCTCAATTGTGAAGGGTCTTGACTGCCCAGACAAGAAGTGTGACCTTCACTGTGACTCCCCACCCCATCCCACTAGTATAATAATAACTTTTCTTTGCCCCTTGTGGGTAGCTTCTCTTGATTTTCTATTTGCTACAACCTGGTACAGGAACAAGATTTTTCTTTAGCACCTGAACCAGTCTCGGTTTAAGAAGCCAATCCTAGAAAGCTCTTCCATCTGCTAAAGTGACCAAGAAAGAGTGTGATCTAAACTCAAAGGGAGAGAGGGATCTGTTGACCCAAGGTTCCCTGATGGCCTCGTCCCTGTGCTGGGAGTGTAGGGTGGAGACGGGGGTTGTCCTGGGGCTGATACCACACCCCACTTAGTACTCCCACGTAAAGTAATGAAAACCAAGGCTCATCGGCTCTCAGGGTACTGGGAGACATCTCCAGACTCACAATGTTCACCAGCAAATAGGTCTCCATGGGACAATTTGTAAGCCTGGTTCAAAGTAGTCAGTTTGTACAAAAGTTTATAGGCTCACAGCAGGGCTAGGTGGCTCAAGCCTGTAATCCTAGCACTCTGGGAGGCCAAGGCAGGTGGATGGCCTGAGCTCAAGAGTTTGAGACCAGCCTGAGCAAGAGCGAGACCCCATTTCTAAAAATAGCTGGGTACTGTGGCAGGTGCCTGTAGTTCTAGCTACTGGGGAGCTGAGACAAGAGGATCTCTTGAGCCCAAGAGTTTGAGGTTGTTGTAAGCTATGACAACACCATGGCACTCAATCCAAGGTGACAGAGAGACTCTTGTCTCAAAAAAAAAAAAAAAAAGATGTATAGGCTCAAAGTCCCATCTGTATTGCAGTCTTTTCTAATTTGTTCCCAGCTCAGGCCCCTGCCCATCAGTCCATTACCCCCTAACCCCACGCCCCATGCTAAACAGTGGGGTCCATTACTAAGAGAGGCCAAGGAGGGGGGTTTAATGGTGTCTTCAGGGTTGGAATGGACGGTTTTATTTGATGACTGTACGCTCTACTTGGGAGCTATTGGTATCTTGGATGTTTAGTGCTGGCCAACCAACTCTGAAAATAGCTTCTTCTCAGTCAGGGTGTGCCAAGAGGCACAGATGTCCTCCTAAATGTCCCCTAGCTCTAACTGTACTGCAGTCCCAAAACGGGACAGGTGGGGTATCCTGAGACACACAGGGGCAGGTGCTAGAGACTGTTCCTTGTGTGAAGAGTAAAGGAGATGAGTGAGCTTCAAGGAGAGAGTTGAGAGTTGTCAACAGTATCAAACAGTCTAAGACACAAATTCAAGGAGATTGATGCTAAGGTTGAGCTGTTGGGATTTGAGACTGAAGAAAACACTGGTTAAGCTTCCGGAGAAGAGTTTCAGAAGGCAGTGAGATTGGAAGCCCACTGCCTAGTGTTTTGATGCAGGGGGACAGTGACGTCACAGCCTGCTGCTCCTAGAGTGTGACCGGCTGCACGTCCAGAGTCAACAGGAGATCTTGCATGTGTGTGTTTGGGGTCAGGTAGGCTGGAGTTTCCGTCTGTCCACTAGGTAGCTACAGTATTAGTATGGAGGGTGGATGGGGTGAACGGCTCTTTTTTTCTGTAATGCCTCTCAGTGGCCACCAGATGGTGTCCTAAGTCCTGATAGTAACAGCCAATGTTTCAGTCAATTTCCTAGCAAAATAGATGTGAGGTTAACTTCAAACTGTTATGATGACATCAAAAATGTCACACAAAAGGCTAAAAATCAAAGCAATTAGGTCTGAAGTTAAAGCAGCATAATCTGGTAATTTTCTGCTATTTACTAAACATAAACCACAGCCTTCGTGTATCTAGCTGTTTATAAACTCCCAGACTGGGCTTGTACTTCTGTAGGGACATCCTTCCAACTCCCAGCTTCACCCCAGTCCACAGTGGCTCTGCTCTAGATGGGGACTCCCCAAGAGACTATTTCTGAGCTCTGATGAGAAGGCAGCCTGCCGCACCAAACCCTGTCTGCCCTGGTGCCTGAGAAGCGGGAATTCTTGTTTAGATCTGAACACATAAATGGGCTGCTTTCCAGCCACAGAACCGCGTCAGGTTGCAGGAAAAAAGGGAAAACTTCTTATTTGTTTATTCTCAGTGTTTTGAAGTCAGAGGAGACAGAGAGGGGGAGAGGCCAGAGAGGAAGGAGATGCAGGCTGGGAGGGGATTTAGGGGTACAGATCCCTCTGAGCAGAGATGAGAAGACCACAGACCCCCGAGTGGGTGTGGGATGTTAGACAGACACAGAGGTGTAGGAGGAGATTAGAAGCTCCCCAATGACTGGATCTGAAGCTGAGTGGATGGGCTGAGGGCACCTGGCACAGCCACTATGGGAAGGTGCCCAGGACCCCAAGAGGCAACAGTGACAACAGATTGACAGCCTCCTGGTCCTGGGGTCTCCTCCCACCGTGCTCTGCCTTCCAGTCTCTAAAGAGCAAAACTTGGCCAGTTCAGCTGAGACGGGGTCTGTAAATCATAGGCTGCTAATGGACTTGAGGCCACAATCTAATCTGCTCGTTATGGGAGAAACTGAGGCCCAGAGATACATGACCTGCCCAAGGACACGCAGAAGAGCCAGACTAGCTTCTAACCCTGCATCCCCTGGAAGGTCCAAATGGTGCCTCTCTTGCCCAGCGTGCTTCTGAGCCTCATGAAAAAATTTCCAACCTGATTACCCTGTGCCTGGCTCGTCCCGAGGCATGAGGACATGATGCTGAAGGGACAGAGAAGCCCATGAATTCCTTTTTGTTGTTGTTGGCCCACAGGAATCTCCTATCAGCGACTGGTGAGGGCTGAGCAGGGCCTGCCCATCCGGAGTCACCGCAGTTCCACCGTGTGAGTGCTCAGGGGAGTGGTAAATGGGAGTGGGGAGGTAGGTGCAGTTTTAGGCTGAAGGTCTTTCATCAGATTCTTAGAGGAGTCTGCATCAATTGTGCCAGGTGGTAGGCACACATTACCTCCCTTTATCTATACTTTTCAGATGTGAAATTGGAAGTCAGAGAGACCAAGTAATTTCTCCAAGGTCAGATAACTAACAAGTGTCTGAGCTAGGATTTAAACTTTAGTCTTACACAAAAGCCCATGCTCTTTCCACAGTGTCTTTCTGCTTGTTACTAAAGCAGCATTTCCAAACACTTTTTGACCAAGACCTACAATTACAAATACATTTTATATGACAGCCTGGTACACATGTCTGCACGCACACACCCCTGAACCAAGTTTTATAAAATGAAACTTATGCCTACTATACAGGATGAGCTCTGTCCTATTCTATTTCATTTAAGATGCAAATTCTGGTTGTGACTCCTCACATTTATTTCATTGCCCACTCCTGGGTCCTGACCTACAGTCTATAAAGCTCTAGAGAGGAGGGGTCCATTCTCTAGAGGTCTTGGAGTCTGCGGGTATTGTCCTACCTTGACATATTGGGAGCCCTGAACTCCAGCCTTCACAGGCCTCACCCAGCTTCAAGGGTTCACTTCCAGAGTTCTTTCTAGATAAAAACTAACAAGCCTGTGGTAGAGGTTGAAAGAGACAGAAAGGGCATGTAAAGGGCAAGTGTTATAATTTAGTGAGAGAGAGATACTCACTAAAGTATCTGAGTGATACTCAGGGCTGAGGCAGGAGGGCTGGTGAGTAATCACTAACCCCTGTGTTACTTGTTAGGTACCTCCTAACAGGTGTTGCCTTATTTAAATCCTCCTGTTATACTAGTGAGGAAGGGATTTTTCAGATTAGGTGACTGAGGCACAGAGAGGTTAGTAAGAAGAACTAAGGGTCTCACTTTCCTTATCTATACATTAGGAATGATGCTGAGTTCTTTTTTTGAGACAGTCTCTGTTGCCCAGGCTAGCATGCCTTGGCCTCAGCCTAGTGCACAGCAACCTCAAACTCGGGCTCAAGCAGTCTTCAGCCTCAGCCTCTTGAGTAGCTGGAATTACAGGTGCCCACCACAATGACTGGCTAATTTTTCTACTTTTAGTAGAGATGAGGTCTTGCACTTGCTTAGGCTGGTCTCAAACTCCTGAGCTCAAGCTATCCTTCTGCTTCCGCCTCCCAGAATGCTAGGATTACAGGCATGAGCCACCGCGGCTGGTCTGGTTTTTATGGCAGAGAAATCATACAGGCTGGTGAGGGCAGGGGCTTGACTGGTCTCGCCCTGCACACAGTGGTGCTTAGCCCATGTCTGTGCATGGAAGGAGTGAACTCGCTTAGCAAGGGAGAGGGGCTCGGTATGCCCAGAGGGACTGATGCCTGCATGGTGCTGCTGTCTCACTGGGTTTGAACACAGCATGGGACTGTGAGAGAGCAGTGCAGTGATGGTGGGGTTGGCATGGGTCAAGTGAGAATGACCATGTGCTATTGTTAACTGTTAACTGAGCCACCAGCACCTCAGGGTCCACGATTCTCTTTCTGTTTGAAGGACCTTTGGAAGTTTCCATAATAGACTTAATTATTGGCACCAAGAGGGACTCCTAGGATTCATCAAGAAGGGAGGAAGAGCAACTGGCTACACAACCCGAGCCTGATGCTAGCCTGCATGATGGTGTTGAACTAATTAGAAAAGATGCCCCCTCTAAGCAGAAGAATAAGACGCAGCCCTGACTTGGCAGCCCTTCCTCTAGGCAGAGGCAGCTCCTGTGCCCTGAGGAATTTTAGGCCCCACCCACCCCAGGCCACACTGCATGAGAACATATGGCTGCCCTGGACCCCTTAAAAATGGTCATCTGGCTTCATGTCATCTCACCTAAAATATGGTCTTCCCTTGAGGAAGTTTGCATCCATTCAGATGTTCCGTAGGAAAAATGTTAATGTCAAAGTTAAGGTAAAATTAATTTTTTAAATTAAGTTCACTTTTGAAAAGGTCGTTGAAAACACCAGTTGAAAAATACTTAGACCCCAAGCTTGCCCAGGCCTCGAGCTCAGAGCTGCCCACCTTTTTCCTGGCCTCCTGCTGTCCTTCCTCAGGCCCTGCCTGGGCTGAGAGGAGGCCCACCTCAGTGGACCTGAGTGCCAGCAGGCATGATGTGTGGCTGCACCCTGGTGTGCTGGCCACTCCCAGGTGCCACAGCTGTCTTCTGTGCCCCCAGCACTGTGCTGCTGCTGAACCCCGTGGAGGTGCAGGGTGAGTTCCTCGCCGTGGCCGACAAGCTGAGTACACCTGGGCACTCGCCCCACAGCACCTACACCACCCTGCTCCTGCATGCCTTCCAGGCCACCTTTGGGGCCTACTGTGACCTCCCAGGCCTGCAATGCAGGCTGCAGGTATGTACCTGGGCTCTCATCTCCTCCATCTCGGCCATAGTTGCTGGGGTACACTGGTCCTCCTCACACTGAGGGACATGGCATGTTGGTGGCTGGAGGATTGGCTTTGCCAAGGGGGTTTCTGGAGTGCCGGACCCTGACCAGAGCTGGTTGGTCCACTTGGCAGTGGGTGCCTCAGAGGATGGCACATGCCATGGGAACAGTTCTGGACTGAAGACATGGCATCTAGTCCTGGCTCCATGACAGGTCAGCTGTGTTGCCCTGAACAGCCCTTTCCCTCTTTGGAGGGGCAGCAAGGCACTCTGAATCCCTCCCAACTGCAGTGGGGCTGGGCCTGTCTCTTCTGACCCTTTCTTGAGAATGGTGGTTGATGGGGAGGCCTGACTCCCTGAACAACTACAGGAAGAGGTAGGAGATGAGGCTAGGAGGGGTCTGGTCACTGCTGCTCTTGGCAAGACCTTAGGAACTACAGCAGGCAGTGAGGCCACAGTATGGGAGCAAACCCTCTCTCCTCCTGGGCTTTTAGGCCAAGACCCTGGCAGAGCTTGAGGACATCTTCACTGAGACTGCCGAGGCACAGGAGCTGGCATCTGGCATCAGGGATGCCGCGGAGGCTCGGCAGTGGCTCAGGACCAAGCTGCAGGCAGTGGGAGAAAAGGCCGGCTTCACTGGGGTGTTGGGTGAGGCTCTTGGGAGGGTGGGGCTTGGCCCACTTTCCCCATCCCCTGTTCTAGCTCTGCAGGTGTGCAGGCCAGATGGGCCCAGCTCCTGTGCTCCACAGTCATTCAGGGCCCAGGTGCTTCAGCATCTTGTCACTCCAGCATCTCCTGGAGCACTGTCCCTGTGTGTAGGGTCAGGGTTGCCATCACTGTTGAAGGCTTGTGGGAAGAGGAAAGGAGTGCCCACTGAGCACAAGGGCTTGGCTTTCTTGTTGGAGGTAATGCCAAAGCTGCCACATCACTTTCCATATATCCCTTTGAAACCACCTTGGTCACATGGCCTAATCTTGTCTTAAAGGCACCCAGGAAATGTCCTCTCTACAGCTTTGTTGCCATAGAAGAAAGAATTGATCATGAGAAGCAATCATCAGTTCCTGTTACAATACTATTTACAAAAACCTTATGGGCTAATACTATTATTTTCCCATTTGGATATTGTAAAATGAGGCTCAGAGGTTGTGACTTGGCCACATTCATGCAGCTTGTAAAGAACATGGCATCTAGGAGGTGTGCTTGGAGGTGTGCGCCCTCTGGCTGGAAGCTGGGCGTACAGGCCTAGCTCAGCCTCCACCCATCCAGCTGTGTATCGTTGAAAAGTTCTTTTCCAACTCCAGTCTTCTCTGACACAAAGGGACTGTGCTGGCCAATCTCCAAGGCCTCCTGCCCAGTCTTGCCTCACCCTCCCTGTTCTTATAGGCACAGGAAAACCTGGGAAGCTTCACACCATCCCCATCCCTGTGGCCAGGTGCTACACCTACAGCTGGAACCAGGACAGCTTCGGTAAGGAGCCGGTGGGGCCCCCACTGCCTGGCTATCTTTCTACTTCCGTGCGGCTGCCCCCTCCCACAGGCCCCCACTTGAGCAGGCTCTAAGCACAGCAGGGCACAGTGCTGGGAGTCCCTTGCTGGCCCTGAGCCCATTTCTGCTCTGCCTGGAGTCCAGTCTGCCTAAGCCTGTCCCTGCTGTGAAGATACACAGGAGGGGACCCCGACAGCCCTGCCGCTTGTTTCCCGCAGACATCCTGCAGGAAATCCTGCTCAAGGAACAGGAGCTGCTCCATCCAGGGATCCTGGGGGATGATGAAGAGGAGGAAGAAGAAGAGGAGGAGGACTTGGAAACCGACGGATACTGTGCCGAGAGGGACTCCTTGCTTTCCACAAGCTCTCTGGCATCCCGGGACTCTACCCTGTCCCTTGCCTCCTCCCAGGCCTCAGGGCCAGCCCTCCCCGGCCAATTGCTGACCTCCTTTGTGTCAGGCCTCTCAGATGGCATGGACAGTGGCTACGTGGATGACAGTGAGGAGAGCCCCCCCGAGGGGCTGGGAAGGCCTAGCAGCCAGGAACGCCGGGGCTACCGCAGGCCCGGGCAGAAGTTCAACAGGATCTATAAACTCTTCAAGAGCACCAGCCAGCTGGTACTACGGAGGGAGTCTCGGAGCCTGGAGGGCAGCTCAGATACGGCCCTGCCCCTGCGACGGGCAGGAAGCCTCTGCAGCCCCCTGGACGGCCTGGAGCCACCCCGCTCCCGGGCCCAGCGTTCCCGCTCACTGCCCCAGCCCAAGCTTAGCACCCAGCTCTCCAGCTGGCTCCTGGCCCCTGCTTCACGCCACCAGCGCCGCCGTCCCTTCCTGAGTGGGGATGAGGACCCCAAGGCTTCCACGCTGCGTGTTGTGGTCTTTGGCTCTGATCGCATTTCAGGGAAGGTAGCTCGGGCATATAGCAAACTTCGGTAAGAGCCATGAGGGGCGGCATCACTCTGCCCTGTGTAGCGGGGTTGTGCTGGTGGAATCTGGACCCGAGGCTTAGGGTCAGAGAGGAACCAAGGGTTCCCATCTCACCACCTTCTTTTTCCCAGGCGGCTGGAGAACAATCACCCACTCCTCACACGGTTCTTCAAGCTTCAGTTCTTCTACGTGCCTGTGAAGCGAAGCCATGGGGTCAGCTCTGCGGCCTGTCCAGCCTCTCTGAACCAGACACCCCAACCCTACCCAGACTCCCCGAGGCACCCCAGCCCTGCAGTATGTCCTCAGCCTGGGCCAAAATGGGATGGGAAAATAGAATGGTCATGAACAAGTTCTAGCTACCCAGAGGGAGCCGGTCGGACGGCAGTCATCAAAAGTAGTTACCTGTGTTTACAGGGCACCACCTCCTGCCTGGTTCTCACTCTCAGGTCCTTGCCCTGCATTTGGGTATGACATTTTGCCACATGACAAAGGCCGAAAGTTGTCATTCAAGGGCAGGAAGGAGCTCAGTTTGAGGCTGCAGGTGCCGTCCTCGACCTTGGAGGTAGGATGGGCAGGCCTCCTGGGTAGCTGGGAATGACCCTCATCTCTTCCCCAGGAGCTGGGCACAGTCCCATGGGAGGAAAGCACCAATGACATCTCCCACTACCTCGGTATGCTCGACCCCTGGTACGAGCGCAATGTGCTGGGCCTCATGCACCTGCCCCCTGAAGTCCTGTGCCAGGTAAGTGGCCCTAGTGTCGGCAGAAAGGACCTGCTGGCTGCGGTCATCCAGCCTCAGTCTAACTTGAGACCCTCATGGAGGACCAGGGTTCACTTGGAGCAGAGAGGATGGGCAAGAAGTAGGCCTTAGTTTCAATGTAGGACACTGGGGCAAGTGCTGGAGTCACTGGTTACAGGAGGCTCCTCAAAGGGTGCGAGGGATCTTAGATTTCAGCCACTTCCTCAGCTCCCAGCCTCATCTAGCTGGGTCAGACGGCTCCCCAGGGGCCCACGGGTCAGGTGGGGAAGGTACTGGCCAGCTGTGGCCCCTGGGCTGTTTTCTGCTTCCATCTCACCGTGCCTCCCTGGTCGTCTGCTCCCTGTCTTCTCTCCACTTATGCATGCCTCTCCTCCTCCCCTGTTTTCTTCCTCTCTGCCCGCTATCCATCTGACCCTCGGACTTGGCTGCCCTACCCTCCACAGCAGTCCCTGAAGACGGAAGCCCGGCACCTAGAGGGCGCCCCCGCGCAGCTGCCCATCCTGGCGGACATGCTGCTGTACTACTGCCGCTTCGCTGCCAGGCCGGTGCTGCTGCAGGTCTACCAGACGGAGGTAAGGCCCACCCACACCCCCACGTCTGCGCTTCCCACGGACCTACTGGCAGACCCAGGTCTGCGTCCCAGCCCGTGGCCTGCTGGGCTTGCAGCGCCCCTAACTCCCCACTCCGGCTACCACTTGGCAGCCTGCAACCCTGGAGAAGCCAGGTGGGCCTCTTTGGGAGGTTCACACTGACGTACATGCCCCTGCCCTCTCCAGCTGACCTTCGTCACTGGGGAGAAGACGACAGAGATCTTCATCCACTCATTGGAGTTGGGTCACTCTGCGGCCACACGCGCCATCAAAGCTTCCGGTGGGTACCACCTGAACTCGGGGAGGCGGGGAGGCAGGGAGGCGGGGCGACCTGAGAGGCGGGGCGACCCGGGTGGGTAGGCCCTGGGGCGGGGCTCCGGGAAGGCGGGGCTCCCGGGTTCTGTGCGGGGCACTGCAAGTGGGAGGGAGTAAATGGTCTGTGTGTGCTGCACAGGTCCTGGCAGCAAGCGACTCGGCATAGATGGCGACCGGGAAGCCGTCCCTCTAACACTACAGATAATTTACAGCAAGGTAAACCAAACGCTAATCTTTCTTCCACCAGAGCTTGGGCCCAGAGCTGGACTCTCGTGTTTCTGGGCCCGGTATTCTCAGAAGGCTCCCGCGGATACTGAAAGAAGGGGTGCATGGAGGGGGTGGACATCTCTCTGCCCCTTGGCCTCTGCAGGCTCCTTCCCCGTGTGTTTTCTGCCCTCACTTGAATGCACTCAGCAGCTTCTCTAAAGTGTCAGGAGCAGGAGTCTGCTGGGTCTGGCTACAGAGATGCCGGGGAGAGAGAGCAGGCCTCCCAGAGGCCCCTGAGGGTGAGGGTCTGTGGGGCTGTGGTCTGGGTAGTGGATGCAAGGTGGGATCCTGTGAGAAGAGAGTGTGAAGGGTTGTAGGAAGGAGGAGGGATGTCCAGGAGACACCAGGAGACATGAGCTTCTGAGCAGGTCCCATCAGGGTACAGGCTGAGAAAGGCTTGGCTTTACCGGTGGGAGTCCTTCTTCCTGCCTTCTTTCCTTGGGCCATTTCAAAGATATTTATTTAGCACCTACTCATGCCATCTGTGTATCGGGCAGGAAAACTAGTAGCTGAACAGGAAGGCTCAGCTCTTCTTTAACCTAGAGGAGGAAAACAGACAAGAAACAAGGAGCCACATAGCCAAGATAATTTTGGAGTGGTTAGTGATGACAAGGCAATAAAAAGGCAGATGAGTAATAGTTTTGGGGGCTCTTTTACATCTGGTGGTCAAGGAGGTGGGCAGGGAACTACTGACCCTCACTGAATGCTGTGTACCAGGTGTTAAACATCTTCTCTGGCTCCAACACTATTCTAGGCACTGGAATGTTCATAAAAGTGAACAAAGGACAAATTGGGTGGTGGTTACATGGTGCAGTAGACATTGGTTAGATCACCCCGCAAGATGTCCAGGTACAACAATGAGAAATAAAGGGGGGAAGCACAGTGCTGTACCTAAGTGGCATTTTCAACCCAATCAGGAGAGTTAGAGAAGGCTTCCTTGAGGAGGGATAGTGAGTTAATATCGCAGGAGTTACTGAGGCTGAAAAGAGAGGGATGCACTCTTCAGGCAGCAGGAGTGGCATGTGCAAAGACCCTGTGGGGGGAAGGAGTATGACCAGCAAAGAGCACCAAGAAAAGACCAGAGGGGCTGGAGCAGAGAGGGAGAGTGGGAACATGGTGATGAGGTGAAGCTAAAGAAATATGGAGGCCAGCATACCACAGGCCTTGACTACAATGAGAGGAATTTTGTCCTTGTCCTAAGAACAATGTGTATCCATTACAGGCGCTTAAGTTTGCAGTGGGGCTGGGAATGTATGAGACGTGATCAGATTTGAGGTCTGGAAGCTCTGTGGAGCACAGATTGGAAGGGCCCACAGGTGATGCAGGAAGGCCACGTAGGAGCTCTTGTGGTTGGTTGTCCAGAAGGGAATGAGGCAGCTACCTGCACTAGGGTCATAGTGGCAGAGAAAAGAAATGGAAGATATATTTGAGTTATGTGACCAGCAAAACTTAGGGATGGATTAAGAAAGGAGAGACCCAAAGTCCTTAGTCCCAGTCATCCATGACTAGCAAGACCATCTTCTCGTGGGGAACATAGGAAGAGGCCCAGGTTCAGTGGGGGAAGTTCATGAGTTTGGTTTGGGACATACTGAGTTTGAGAGGTAAAAGGAGAAAGTCAGAATAGGCAGTTGGTTGAATGGGCTTGACCCAGAGATGAAATACATAGATGGGTGTATAGATGCTAATGGAAAAAGAGCATGGGTGAGATTCCTTCATGGAAAAAGTAGGGGTCACAAAGAGCAGAAGACCTAGGAGAGAGTCTGGAGGGCCTTCATCATGGTGGGCAGACACACCTTCATCATGTAATGGTGGGTGATCCACAAAGCAGAGAGGCTCCGGGGGGGTGGGGCGGAGGGGGGGAAGGCAGATGTGCACCATTGTGAAAGCCCAGGAGAATTTCTCAAGGAAGGGAGGGTGGTGAACAGCATCAGGCAAGGTCTGCAAGATCAAGTAAGGACTGAGAAATGTTCTTGGGTTTTACAACCGGAGGATCCTGATGAAGGAGGCACTCAGACAAGGTCTCAAAGAGGGGGCTCCAGTCTAGCTGGTCCAGAAATGATATGCTTATGGGCTGACCATTCCTCACTCCGGGCCTGGCAGGAGAGCCTCAAGACAACCCTTTCAGGTGCTCTTAGCTCTCATGCCCTGGTCATAAAAGCTAACCCCTGGACCACGCCAGTGTCCAGGAGTCACCCAGGTCTATTCAGGGAGGTACAGGGGCTCTGGTTAATGATAGGGAGCTCCCTGGGAGATGTGCTGACTGCAGGCATCACCCTGGCACTGGTGGATCTTCAAAGAAAAGGCGATAGGCCTGGAGTCTTCTGGGCTGAGAGGATCTGGTTGTACTGTGTTTCCAGGGGGCCATCAGTGGAAGAAGTCGCTGGAGCAACCTGGAGAAAGTCTGCACCTCTGTTAACCTCAGCAAGGCCTGCCAGAAGCAGGAGGAACTGGGTGAGTGGGGTGGGCAGGCTTGGGGATTGGGCAGGGAGGTTCTCTGAGCCTAGGCTGAGCCCCCATTGTTCTTCAGACTCCAGCACGGAGGCCCTGACACTAAACCTGACAGAAGTGGTGAAAAGGCAGAACCCGAAATCCAAGAAGGGCTTTAACCAGGTAAAGGCTTCCCTCTCCTTCCAGCCACACCCTTAGGAGACTTACTGCAGCGTGCATGTGCGTGTTTGTGTATGTGAGGCACAGTTTCACATGTGTGTGTAAGAGAGAGAGAAAGAGAGAAAGGAGGGGTGTCTGCAGTGGGGCCTGCAGGTGGGAGAGGAGAAGCAGGGTAAGGGGTGTGGTTTGGGGGGGGTACACAGGTGTGGAGTGTTGTGGGGTGTCAGGAAGGGAGGGATGCCATGAGAGGATGTGTATGTGGAAGGACTATGGGGTGGGCACTAGGAGAGCTCTTCAGTCTGAGGCCAAGCAGGCTTCGTGTCAGGGACCCTGGGGCTCTCCCAGTGAGGTCTTTGCCTCTTTCAGACTCAGGAACAGGCAAGGCAGGGCCTGATGGAGCCTCTGAATGCCTCCCCTGACTTGGCCACTAACCCTGGAGAGCTACCAGCTAAACTCTGCCCCATCTCCCAGACCAGATGGGCAGTTGTGGGAGAAGGAACTGCAGAGGGCTGGCAGTTTTTGTGGCCAGAGCTTCAGGGCTGACCGGGCCTTCCTTCTAGATCAGCACGTCGCAGATCAAGGTGGACAAGGTGCAGATTATCGGCTCCAACAGCTGCCCCTTTGCTGTGTGTCTGGACCAGGATGAGAGAAAGATCCTGCAGAGTGTGGTCAGGTGGGAAGGGAGTGGAGGACAGGGAGAAGGCCGATTTCTGCTTCTCTACTTAAAGCCCTGAAATAGCTGGAGGGATGGGCCTTGCCCTTACCCCTGAACCTATTGTGCCCCCCAGGTGTGAGGTCTCACCCTGCTACAAGCCAGAGAAGAGCGGCCTCTCCCCACCACCCCAGAGGGCCCCAGACCCGCCAGCCCAGGCTGCACCTGACCTCTGCTCCCTCCTGTGCCTGCCCATCATGACTTTCAGCGGAGCTCTGCCCTAGTGTGGGGCCTGGTGCCAGACTGGACAGGAAGCCCTGGGGCAGCCTCCTCTGAGCCCTGCTCCCAGACGTTTGCAGTCTATGAAGAATGGAATGGCCCTATGCTGATTTACCATCCTACTGTGGGTCTTGCAAAGGATGAAACAGGATAGTTTCTCAGGGCCTCGGGGCTCTGAGGAAGAAACAGGCATTAGGGAGAGTAGGACAAGAGCCCAGAGCCTCTCAGTTTTCTCACGGGAGAAGGACAGGGATGGGTGAGTTGACCTCTGAAAGTCCTGACCACCAGGATGGACTGAAATACTTCCTAGAAGGTAGATCTGAGGCTCTGATGCTCTGATGCTATGGTTTAGGCCTCTCCCAACCCTTGGCTGGGCCTACTCCTTACTTTGTCAAAGACTTGAGGAATGCTTTGTGGCTGGGGTTCAGTCCCCTCCACTCTGGGGCTCAGGTGGTAGAAACATAGATGAGACTTTTCTTTCCTTCGGTACCACCCTTCCCCCAACACACCCATACCAGCACACCGTCTCACAGTATCTCTCTCTCAAGTCCCCTGGTCTTCTGAAAACAGCACTAATGACTGACCTATTGTCAGACCTGGTACAGATGCTCTCTTGACTCCCTTTCTGGATTTGTGATCCTTGGGAGACAGAACAGGCTTAAATTCAGGAGTAGCTCAGCTTCCTTCTAGCTAAATAACCAGAGGAAGTGAATTAAACTTGACCTTCCATTTCTTTGAGCTCTGGAATTGGGGGGGCAGGTGGAAGGGAATTGAGGAGAATCCTTAAAGGATTGAGGAGTTGTCAGCAAAGCCTTAACCCCCTGCCAGGATTAGTGCCTCATTTTCTAAATGCTGATTCCTCCTTTTTGGGGTACCTGGGATATTCTTGTAGCCCCTGGAATGCTTCTCACTCACACCTCCCCCAGCTGAGGCACAACCCAGACTGAGGAGGTGAGAAGCATCAATTCTACCTTCCTAAGGAGGAACTGCCTTTGTCAGGCCAAGACAGGATGCTTAGGTGCCCCACCCTCCAGCCCCTTCTCTGTCAGGTTGGCCCCAGAGCCTCCACTCCCAACTCCCATTGTCACTCTTTGGGCTGGCCCACATTATGTGCAGAGTTCTTTGGCACCATTCCAGTACCTGGGCAAGATTCCAGAGCAGAGGATGGAGAGACTGGCCTCATGGCGCTTAGTGCCTAATGGGGGAGAGATGAGACTGGGAAATGATAGCACATGAGAGCCTGCAATTTAAAACTGCCAGGTTGAGAAATGGAGTCCCAGCGTGCCTCTTCCTCACTGCCCTCCAATTCCCAGGGCAGCCATGTTGCCAAAATGAAAGAAGCAGAATCAGTACCACTTACTGCTGCCGCCCCAGCCCCCATTACCCCAGTGGGAAGAGACTGGAGATGAGGAGGATTGGAGTCCCGTTGGGCCACCCAGCCTTCTGGGCCCTCCCCTCATGGCCAGTGGAAAGCCTGGTGATCCTAAGTCAGGAAACCACAGAGTAGCAGAAGATACTTGGAATAAATATGACCAATAAAGAGCTCATATCTAGAATGTATAAAGAACTCATCCAGACAAGCTATTAGGAAAATTAGCAAAAGACCAGAGCAGTCACCTTATAAAAATGGAGTTCCAAATGAACAAGAAATCTGAACAAGTACTCAGCGTCATTAGTCATCAAACAAATGCAAGATAAAAACACACCACTTTGAAACTGGAACTGCTGGTGGGACTGGAAAATGGTGTAATCATTATGGAAAATAGTATGTTGGTTTCTCAAAAAGTTAAAAATAGAATTAGGATATGACAGTCCCACTTATACCCCAAAAACTGGAAGTAGGATCCTGAAGAGACATTTGCACACCCATGTTCACAGCAGTACAACTCACTATCGGCAAGAGGTGGAAGCGTCCCAAATGCCCTTGACAGAAGAATAGATAAACAAAATGTGGTGCATACGTACAGTGGAATGCCATCCAGTCTTAGAAAAGAAAAAATGTCACATACTACAACATGGGTGAACTTTGAGGACATTACGCTAAGTCAGTGGTTCTCAACCTTCCTAATGCTGCGACCCTTTAATACAGTTCCTCATGTTGTGGTGACCCCCAACCATAAAATTATTTTCATTGCTACTTCATAACTGTAATTTTGCTCCTGTTATGAGTCATAATGTTATATCTGATATGCAGGATGTATTTTCATTGGTACAAAAGGGTCCTGACCCACAGGTTGAGAACCGATGTGCTAAGTGAAATAGAAGACAGGTACAGGGGGCCAGGTGTAGTGGCTCATGACTGTAATCCCAGAACTTGGGGAAGCTGAAGCAGGAAGATTACTTGAGACTAGGAATTTGAGACCAGCCTCAGTAACAGAGTGAGACTCACACACACATGCACACCCAACCCCCATCTACAAAAATAAAAAAAATAGCTAGGCACAGTGGCACACTTGTAGTCCCAGCTACTCAGGAGGCTGGGGGGTGGGGGGATCACTTGAGCCCAGAAGTTTGAGGCTTCAGTGAGCTGTGATCACACTATTGTACTCTAGCCTGGGTGACAGAACAAGACTTTGTCTCTAAAAAATAAATCTTTTTTTTAAAAGGAAAACATAAAAACCCCAACCAAACAAAAAACCTGCCAGATTGGGTATTTTGAAAAGTTGGAAGCTAATGTGGACTAGGGTGATAGGGTGCAGGGCAGGCCCAGGATTTGAACTGATAGAGGTGGAGAAAGTAACCAGGAAGCATGAAATTGTATACCACACAGTGTCCCTCTCCTTTCCTGTTTCATCCCGCCCAGAAGGTCCCGGGCTCATTTGCTCATGAAATCCCAGCATGGGGTGCTCATGACTTGAGAGAAGTCTCTCCTTCCTGTCCTCGGTACCTTTCCTCCCTGTCCTCTCCATCAGGACTTGCTTCAGGCTCTAGAGGGTGGGGGCCACATACCTTCAAAACCTTTCTGCTATGTGAGCAGGTTATCTTACTACATAATCAACAGATATCTCAGAATTAATGAATATAATTTAATATTATTGTCAAATAAAACTTGATTTGTCTTATATTTAATGACCAATAGTTATTTTGCTGCATGACAATTAACTGCTAGTTGGGCTGTTTACATAAATCATTTCATATATAGGAGAAATAAGATTCTTGGAAGATGGTTTTGCTTATATTTTTGTCATTTTTTTTTTCTGCTCTATAGAAAATATGTTCGGGCTAAAACTTGTCTTCAGCACTGTTCCATTTAAGCCTCTTCATATTCCTCTCCTATGCTTAAGGACTCAACACGTCAGGTTTGCTGTGGCGCATCAATTGAGAAATATAAGTGCATATAGAAACTGCTCCCTGTACTCCAATCCTGAGGCTGTTGTTACTGATGGGGGGAGGGGGTACAGTGGGCCCTGGACCTGCCATGCAGTAAGAGGAAGGGAAGAGAGCTCAACTGTGTCCTTTTGGGTCTGGGGCCGTTTGTAGACTCCGGCCACAAGGAGGGAGAAAAGAGGCTATAAACTTGGTGAGGATACCTGTGACTTGAGGGAGGGGAGCACCAGGCTCCCAGAACAACCACTCAGGATGGAGGGAGGAGGAACCAGCTCTAGCCTGCATCAGCTGGCTATTGCAAACGATGAAACATACCTGGAATTCAGTGAATTAAAACTCTGTTTGTTCTTTCTTGTACATCTGGGGAATCACCTGATCTGGGTTGGGCTCCAAGTGGCTCTCTAAGATGTAGGATGGGTGCAGATCTGCTCCATGGGTCTCTCAGGCACGTTGCCTGGGGCAGAGAGCAAGTGGAGACATAATGCCTCCTAGGGATGCCACCTGGAACTGCAACAGTATCCCTTCTGCCAGTATTCAATTGCCCCAAATTGATGAACATCAACCTACAGGTTTACTAAACTCAGCAAATTTACACAGGACAAGAGCGTTATCTCCTGAGAAGGCCACTTCACCTCTGACATATTTTCCAAAACCCCAGTCCAATCCTGAGAATAAAACATCATACAAACCCAGATGAGGGGACATCCTATCAGATACACTGACCAGTGTCATGAAAATAAGGAGAAACTGAAAAACTCACAGATTAAAGGAGCCTAGATAAACCTGAAAGCTGATGACGTGTGGTACACCAGACTGAATCCTGAAACAGGACATTAATGGGAAAACTAGTGAATCCCAAGTAAGTCTGGAGTTTTCTAAACAACACACACATAGGCACCTCATTGTCAACCTAAGGTAATCAGAAAATCTTAAATATAGCCAGAGGAAAATAATACCCTTTACCTCCAAAGTATCAACAAACTGAGAGTTCCCTTCTCAACAGCAACAGTGGAAGCTGGAAGATAATAAAATGGCAACTTTAAAGTACAGGGGGGAAAAACAAAGCTGCCAACCTGCCTCCTACTCCCAGAATTGTCTGATGGTATTTTTTAAAAACTTACATACTGCTCACAAGAGATACACTTTGAATATAAAGTCACAGAAAAGCTGAAAGCAAACAGATGGAAAGCCAACCCCAAACACTGGTGGTGGTAAACTAATTTCCAAAGACTTAGGGCAAGAATCATTACAGAAAATAAAGAGGAGAATTTGATAAAGATCCAGGGGTCATCCAACAAAAAGATATAACAGTTATAAATCTGTATGTACCCCATAACACAACTTAAAATTATATAAAGCATGGCTTGGTGCCCGTAGCTCAGTGGTTATGGCGCCAGCCACATACACTGGGGCTGGCGGGTTTAAGCCTGGTCTAAACAACAATGATAACTACAATTAAAAAAAAAAAAAAGCCGGGCGTTGTGGCGGGCACCTGTAGTCTCAACTACTTGAGAGGCTGAGGCAAGAGAATCACTTAAGTCCAAGAGTTTGAAGTTGCTGTGAGCTGTGACGCGATGGCACTCTACCAAGGGTGACATAGTGAGACTGTCTCAAAAAAGAAAAAATATATATATATGAAGCAAAAACTGATAGTATTAAAAGCCTTCACAACCATAGTGGAGGACTTTAACGTTGCTCTCTCAATACCTTACAGAACAAATAGACAAAAAAAAGAAGAGAGAGAGAGAGAGATAGAAGATCTGGGTAACAATAAATTATTGAAATAGAACACTGTGCTCAAGGGTAGCAAAATTCACACTATTTCCAAGTGCAAGTAGAATGTCAAATTTCAAATGATTGAAAAAATATAGAGGCTATTCTCTGACTACAGTGAAATTAAATAACAAAAATAGCAATAACAAAAATATTACTAGAAAATCCAAACTACCTAAGCACTATATTTCTAAATAACCCATGGATCAAAAGAAATAAAATGGAAAGTAGAAAATATTTTGAACTGGTTGGTAACAAAGCTATGATATTGAAATTTGTAGGGTACCAAAGTAATACCTAGAAGGAAATTTATTGTCATAAAAAGTATATCTTATAAAGGCATAAAAGCTGAACATTATTCACATATCAGAAAGCTAGAAAAAGATCAGTAGATCAGTCTTAAAGAAAGTAGAAGGAAGGAAAGAAGCATAAAATCAGAAACCATTGAATTAGAAAGCTAATTTGCTAAGCTGGTACCCTTGACTCACACCAGTAAAGCTAGCACTCTGGAAGGCCAAAGTGGGTGGATCCCCTGAGCTCAGGAGATCCAGAGCTATTTTCTAAAAATAGAAAACTAGCTGCGCATTGTGGTGGGTGCCTGTAGTCCCATATACTGGGGAGGCTGAGGCAAGAGAGATCGCTTGAGCCCAGGAGTTGGAGGTTGCTGTGAGCTATGATGATGCCACTCTTGCCTGGGTGACAGACAACAGAGTGAGACTCTGTCTCAAAAAGGGAAGAGAGGGGAAGGGAAAAGAAGGGGAGGGGAGGAACTTACTTATTGATGAACCCCCTGGGAAGACTCGGAAAAGAAAGAGAGTGAGAACAAAGTGTTATGAATGAAAAAGAGGACATCTCTACAGAGCCTACAAACATTTAAAAGATATTAAGAGGATATTTTAAATAACACAAGTAAATTTTGATAACTTAGATAACATGGAGAAAATAATCAAAAATGCCATTTGCCAATCTGACAGAAGAAATGGAAATTCTGGGTAATTCTTATCCTTGTTCCTCTATAGATAATTTCCCACTGTCTTCTTTCAGGATTTTTTCTTTATTTTTGATTTTCTGAAGTAGAATATGATATACCTAAGTGTAGTTTTTTTGGCATTTACTCTTCTTGGTGGTCTCAGAGTTTCCTGAATGTTCGGTTTAGTGTCCGTCATTAATTTGGGGAAATTCTCAGTCATTATGATTTCAAATATTTCTAACGTTCATTTCTTTCTTTCTCCTCTTTCTGGTCCATGCAGTGCATTCTCATTATGTGTATGTAATACCTTTCATAAGCGTCCTACAGTTCTTAAATTCTATTCAGTTTTTTTTCTGTTTGCATTTCAGTTTTGAAAGTTTTTATTAATATTTCTTCAAGGTCACTGATTCTTTAGTTGGGAGTGTCCAGTTTATTTGCTAGCCTAGCAAAGGCATTCTTCAATTCTGTGCCAGTGTTTCTGATGTCTAACATTTCCTATTGATTCTTTCTGGGAGTTTCCATCTCTTCTGCTTACATGATTCCATGTGTTTTTGCATGCTGTCCACGTTTTCCATTTTAGCCCTTAGCATACTAATTTATCTAAGATCCCAGGCTGATAATTCCAACATCTGTGCCATCCTCTGAGTCTGGTTCTGATATTTGTTCTATCCCTTCAAACTGTGCTTTTAGTAAGCCTCGTAACTCTTTGTTGAATGCCAACATAGTATATTGGTCAAAAGGAACCTAAGGAAACAGGACTTTAGCATGAGGTTTCATGGTTATCTGACTAGGAGTTAGGCTGTTCTGCAGTGATTGTAGGCATCATGGGCTAAAATTTCTTCCCACGTCCTTTGTTTTGGATAGTCCTGCAGCACTGGAGCACTGAGCAGTGGGCAGTGTGGCAGAGGGGGAAGGCCTGGGCCTCGGGCTGTTACCTCCACAAATG